AACGTCTTGTTGGTCCTGTTCGGCAAACTTTTATGACTTTTCGTTCCCTCTTCGCAAAATGAGAAGTCCACTTGACTTGTCCCAGTAAGTGCGACTGATAATTCATTCTTTCTTTCTTGTAAGTAAGCGGTATAAGTTCGATTTTTTCGGTAAAATATTGGAGTCATTTAGAAAACATTCGTACGTATCACACGCCATGTGTTTCCGACCTACGTTCGGTGAAAGTTCGCCGACCCGTCGAATCTTCGTTTTCCGAAAAAGTGTCCCAGCTACCTGGTGCACACATCGATCCATCACGTGACCAGTGTTTCATACCTTGTCACAGATTAGTATGTAGTCGCGAGGCGCGAGATAGTGACGTAACACCACAGGTAACCCGCAKTTTTGCTAAGAGCGCGCGCCGATACATATACATAATAAAAGCGTCTCTAATGCATTAGTTGGGCGGCCTATGGTATAACTCCCTTGCTTTTCGTTCTTTTTGTTTTGGACATATAATAGACCAAACTTATGAATATGGGGTCCAAAAGTTTAAGATCTGTAGAGGTTTTGATTCGAAAGTTATTGGCATTTTACTTGAGCTGGGACGAAAGCCCGCCCCCTCCCCTCGCCCCTAGGGTTAAGCATGATTATCGCTTCCTTTCGAGAAGCAATGTTTGACTGTAATGAACCTTGAAGATTTTGAAAGGAAATTGGAGAAGACTATAGAAGCTGGTGATTTCGACGAAATAACAGACCTCGTTACACCTTATAACCTGATGAAGTGCAAAACAAACACCTTAGAAAAGTCCCTGGAGGTATGTAGAAAACAGTACCAACAATGCCTCGTCTAGATATGAATGATGTGCTTACCTTTCTYATATAAACGCTAATGCCTTTTTCACAAAATGAMCTACTGTGRWRCTGCTAWTGTACTTGYTATAAGACATCACTGCTGAGACTGGCGTTTTATATAAATTTACTGAGATGCGGTTTTGCATATGGAGTCGGGCAGACAGTTCTTCACTTGATGCTCTCAGGACATCAATRCACTACTTTCAAAAATGGMGCCAGTTCACGTCCACCKATATTGGGGACTAGTGACGAACCATGGAAACGAGACYTCAAAGGCCTTCCATCAAGAAATCACTACACGAAGATCGTATTTAGACAATGTCCAAAAGTTTGAAAGATGTATTGGTATATGTTATAACAAAACGCTCTTGCAAGACACCATGGAAGCTCACTATACGGAGGCTGGCCTTTGAGACCTCGTTTAAGTGCTTCGTCCCCAGTGCCCTGGTGGGCGACCTTGACACATCGCGCCATTTTTGAAAGTCATGTATTCCTCACTTCTTAGAATCCTATTAATATATAGTATATTTAAGTGGCATTGTTTTCAAAGTTGCATTCGCATTCTCCGATGCATACTGTGAAATGGAATCCACTTTCCCGTCGAGTCGACATGAATGGCTTATTCCATGCAATTCTACAAAGAAATGTCAATATACTGAGGATAAGAGGGACGTAGGACAGGGATTCCATGTATACCTTACTATTTTATCTGGTAATTKTTCAAGGGGRYATGTAWTGYTTTAGGTTAGTCACAAGCTCAAGTCTTTAGCCGATAGGGGTGGACCTGACTCTGATGACTTTGATAGTCTGGCAAACACAGTCGAAGATTTTGCAATTGAGCTTCTTGAGCCTTTGAAACGCGATGACATGAGRAGAGCTATATTTGAAGGAGAAAGCTTTGACCGAATTGCTGAAAAAATCGTGGTCTTTCGTCAGAAAAAGGTTTGAACTGATTCTTCATTCAGTATTTCATTTGATGACATATAATATCATATGCATAACTGGTGGGGGAGTGCTAATTGTGACAAGCATAGGCGCTAATCGAATCAAGTAATTTTTTTTGTCACATGGATACATTTTCTTTAAAGATAAAAAGCGCTGATTGCAGTATTGGTTAAGTGCAAAATTGTAATGTTGCGGTCTGGACCCTTAACGCTTTAAAAAAAATATAGGCGTATCGGGGGAGTGGGTTGACGGCGTCCTGTGCACCTTTAGACACGCCGTTTGTAGTTATTGACAATATCCATTAGTAGGGAATGTATAATAATTTTATTTTTAATTTTAGTTCGTGTCTCATCCCGTTGTATACAATCTTCTAATGAAACGATGGGCRGGAATRTTTTATCATCTGAGATACAGCTCTTTGGTATCCTTGAACTGGTGCAAATGGTTTTTATTGAAYCTTTGGACCGTCTTTGACCTGKTTCTCTTTCCGTTTGCGTTTACGATTCTGTATGTTATTCATCGGATCAAAGGAATTGTGAAACACCGGCAAGGTAGGTGTATTTTTGAGCACTCCTCGAAAAAAGCAGCATTCATCGTTATTTTTTTTTACCTTTGGTATTTTHAGATCACGGCGTTGTACTGATACTTAATTCTACCTGGAAAAAAAAAAAATTTCCAGAGAATGCGGAATTTGAGCAGCGACATACTTGGTAAATGTGATCAAAATCGCATCAAGTTCGCTTCTATCTTGCGTCACGAAGATGGCATTATAACTAATACCTTTATGACCAAAGACAAGGCCAGTGCTGCATTAAAGAATAAAACGTGCAAAATAGAAACAGATAACAACACATTGCAGTCATGCTTGAAGAATGGAAAAGAGATGCTTGAAAAATTCAAAGCGGGAAATTCAAATAAGGTACATATCAATTTGCTACACCAGTTGGGGATGTAAAAGTAGATTTGTGCAGTTTATTCATGAGATTCAAAGTGGAGAACACGACTAATGATGGTCATCATCTTTTCGAATGATGTCGATCACCGTAGGGGCTCCTTTAATTGCCTCAAAATCTAATACGGAATCTTGAATCTAACTCTTTATTAAAGCTTGTTATTATTGGTGGGATCAAGGGACCTAGTTTCCTTTGAAAGCTTTACTATGTGTTAGAAGAGAATAAATCATACTGTTTAGGTTGTAGCTCGTTAGCATTCCATGAATTTTAAAAGACCCTTTAAGGTKGTAAAGTTTCTTTCTCAATGGATTTATTATCGTCTTGTTTACATCCCAGCATGTAACATGATTTTGTAGCATAGTAGGATGTTGCCTTTTCGAAAAAGTGTACCASCAAGAATATCTGATTTGTTATTATACTAGCACATTGATGGCAGATTCATGAAGAATTCGATCCTTAAAAATGGGATTTCTCTGCTTTTCTCAAAAACCATTATTCAATCTAAAGTAATRCAACAGAATAGTATTGTAGCCTTAATKTCGCGCTTAATAACTGACTTTGATAATGGGAATGTTGTAGRGATGTTGTGATGATACTGTTGCAAGCGGGTGACTTGTTCCTGCTGTTGAGTTCCAAGCCGTCATTTGGTTTGTCACTTAAGAAAGAAGCTGTCGATGGTGATAAGATCGTTTTTCTTCAGTTTTCAAGTTTATATTGAAACTGTTGTAGAGAGCTGTGATATAACATTGTGTATCGTAAGCTGGACTTGTTTGCAGTTTTTGAGTTCCAAGCCGTTCTCTTGGTTTCAAAAAACGTTATCGGTGTAAAGATCTTTTTTCACTAGGCTTACATTTAAATAGACYGTAGTTCCTGTGCCAAGATAAGTTGTAAGGGACTGTGCAATAATTACCAGGARGGGGCGTAAAACCAGATTTCTTTAGTTAGAACCCCCCTCCRAAGCACAAGRAAATAGCTCTTACCCCCTCTCTGCTATATTAGAAATAACGTCGAAACTCCCCTCCCCCCGCAACTACCCCTCCCCCCCGCAACTATTGACCTTAGTTATAAAACAAGCACAAGCCATTCGAGTCAACTGTAGCAACTCAAAGACAAACCCAGATGCAAGAGGTGGCTTACTCATCAGGATCTAAGTGTAAAGACAAACACTTTCAGGAGGAGCTGACAAGCTCCTTGAAAGAAGCTCCTTGCTTCTTTCAWATAATTTTGTTCCTAGCAAAGGTTTTCAAGGTCCAAAAWAMGGCTTGTGTAACGATTTTATGGTCAAAAACGACTTTGATATTACTTGTGCTTGTTATGTCTAATAAATCATCAATATGTTTTTCAGCTTCTACACTTCAATTTATGTGAAAACTACATCCTCAATTTATGTGACAAAATTGAAAAAATCAATAGTTGAAAAAAATTCATATCTTTGGTCAATTTCAATCACACATCAACGAGTCTTGGAATTTAGATTTTCATTAGTCAGGCGCGAAGCGTGGACTTTTATGCACATGTGAGGGACCGCGACATTTTTTTTGGATCTGGGGGTCTAACGAACGCCAAAGGCTGGAGTATTAAAGGAGTCTGGTCCTCCCTCAGAAAATTTTGAAAATATTTTTCAAAATTTGAAAGAAATAACTCTTGGAAATGCGATTTCCAGCATTTTGAGAGACATCGAAAATTATGAAAATTTTGAATGAAACCGAAGCACCCCCCCTCTGTTAATTAGGTAATTTTACTTTGAGCCCCCCTTTCTTGCCATCAATTTTATGTAATCCCCCCCTCTGGTTTTACGCCCCCCTTCTCCTAGTAATTATTTCACAGTCCCTAATTACTACACTTCTTGAAGGAAGGTCAGCTTACGTATATTGCCTATCAATCATGTACGCAATCACTTACTCATTGTTTGAGCTTATCCTCAAAGCCAGGTCGCGCCAAAAAGCGCGGATTTTTTTGACTATTAGTATTCCGAATTACCGCTAGTTTWCTGTTTCACCAGCTAGTTTATTTTTTTGTAAAATGAACTGATTTGAACAATGGTGAATAATAAATCGCAGTAAATCACAGTAATAACGCCACTGGACATACCACACCATACGAAAAAATTAGTCCATAGAATAAATTAGATTAAGCGCGAATTGCGTACGTATAATTTTTTTTAAATAAATTATTTTGACAAAGTTACTTTATTTCCTCAAAATGAGGTATTTTTGAAAAACTGAATGTGATTATCTTGGTTTAGACATTGGTTTTAATGACAGACGACATATTTGGTGATTCGTTCAAGGCATGTCTTCGGGAAGCTCAGCGAGTGAAGGGCATTGGATTCAGATTGTTTTGTGTCGGCTTAGGTGTTCATCTTGATGTAAAACAACTGGAATCCATRGCAACGGATGGAAAGGCTCTTCTTTACCATGGTGATATTAAGCAAGAAGATGTCTGTCAAAAGTTCCTTCAGGGTACATTCTTCAAATGATATTAATCTCCATTCGTTTTATTTTCCATTCAATAATTTGTTGTTCTTTTCGTGGCAGGTATACATGGACAAGATACCTACGGTAAAATTAATATAATGTCAATGATATTAAATTATATTAGCAACCATTGTATAAAGTTTCTTGTGATATCCATATTGATACCGTATCTCATTATACTGTTACAAATAGTAATAGTCACACATGGCCAACGGCATGGATCCTTTTGGATCTCAATGAAGGCGAGATTGTTATTTTTAGATAGAGAGGATTGACTTCAGAAGTTAGACAAAAAAGGCTTCGAATTTCCAACCTAATGATTATTTCATCATAATTCTATTATCTTTTTATGTTATCAGACCGATATCTGGAGTATTTCCAAACGCCCTACTTCATCTTCGTGCGTGACACCTTGAGCTACCTTGCGTTACTTGTTCTTCATTGTATCATGTGCCTGGAGCCATCGACTCGTCGTTTCATAACGGTTGAATGGGCTAYCCTTCTCTTCTTCCTTGGACGACTGTCGATGGAAATATATCAGGCAGTCATGGAGAAACAATTGGGTAATGAAATTCAAAACACCTCATTGGAGCCAATGAAAAACCTACCAGAGAAGAGTGAACACTCTTCAGAAAACACTTACCTGATAAAAGAAAACCCTGAGGAAAGCGATGAAGAAGGAGAAAGAGTAAAAATAATCCAACCAACCAAGCCGAGAAGAAGATCGATATGCCCAGTTTTGTTCAGAATATTTTCCAGATATTTCAGGTAGTGTGAAACGCTTATTAGTCGTTCAAGCTTTTTTCTTTATATCTTCGACTACTTTTATTTTCAGTGTTTTCTTTTTGTTTCGTCTCCCATCTTTGATGAATTTCTTTTATAGGTGAATTTGTGTCTTTTTGTATGTTATAAAATTTACATTTCTTTTGAAATAATAAATTGCTTTTCTTTCCCTTATATCACATTTATTTTGACTTTCACAGTGACTGGTGGAATGTYCTCGATTTGATTACACTGCTYGTATACATTGTTATCCTTATCTTACGATYRATAACATGGGCCRAAGACCGCCCAGTTTCCAGGAACCGCTTGTTGGCAGTTTCAGGGTACCTTTACGGKCTTGATACCATGTTCCTCACTCTCAGAGTATTTGGTCACATCATGGAATCTAAAAAGTACACAGGGTCAATCCAAATTGCTCTCTTTCAAATCATCGGTGCTGTAGTGGCAATCTTTGGACAGTTTCTGGCAGCAGTATTGGCATTTTCTCTTGCCATTACCAAAGTGTACGTGGCAGAAATGTCTTACACCACTGGAATAAAAGCTACTTCACATGGGTTCGTAAGCACGAATTATGATATTAAGAAATCGTTGTCCGAGAAAACCGGGCAGTGTCAAATAATGGGGATCGGTCGAAACGCATGAAATCAATACCATTTAATAGGCGTCCGATAAAAATAAGAATAGCGAAATATGATTGTCAACAGACTTTTAGTTTCCGAGATAACCATCCCCGTTCTGTTTTAACTCAAAATCCGCTTAGAATCGCACAAAATTTAGGTCAATTTTGTGACGACGTAAAATCAGAAATACATAACTGACAAACCTCTTTCCCAAAAGAAAGTATTTGACATAAAAATTATTTAATTAGAAAACGGCTTGTAGTTGGACGCTTTGTTTTGAGATGCGTCGGAAATTTCACCAAATTCAAAAAAATTGTTTCTCGAAAGTGCGGCAGTTTTATGTAAATAATTTTAATTTTAATTTTAATTTTAAGTGCTTTGGTTAAGGTGCCTTATATCCTCTTTTCAGGTTCTGTGAAAACCGAAAGGGTGGTATAGCATGGTGAGTGGAATTTTATTGAACACAGTAATTGTGACATCCATTAATTCAAATGAAAAATAAAACAATCAATAAAACAATAAAAAATCGGCCTCGAAAAATGGAAAATTAGCCGAAAAACTTTAACTAGATCAACAAATGACCTTAAAAAAAGTTGGTAATGAAGCTTGACAGAGTGAAACATCAAAGCAGCAAACAATGGTACGAGTACGGATTGCAACACCTGAAGCAGAGAGACCAAAAGAACGAAACAACTCGGATAAGAGAACTGTAAACACAATAGATCGATGTGGTAGTGTGGATCCCCCAAAAAAGGAGTTGTCCAACCAAAGATGCAACTTGACATCGGTACGAGAAAAAGGTAAATTTCAAAGAAATGCGCAGATGCCATAAGAATGTTGACAACATATCTGATGAGGAAGAGTCTGAAGATGAATTCCTTGGTTCCATAGAAATAGACGAGCTAAACGAAGCGATAACGACTGTAAAAAGCAGTTAAAGCTAGAGAACGTTCTCACCACATTCAAGTTAGACACTGGAGGCGATGTTACTATAGTCCCAGAAAGTGTGTAAAGGAAATTGGCAAGCAACAAAAGAAAACAGATAGCGAAGTACTTGAAATGATGGAAGTTCAATTCACAGCAAGTCCAGACAAATCAACGAAACAGGGTCTACGTTGCAATTGGTTTAAAGACTGCACTACTTGGACGACCGGCAATTCAGCAAAATAGGGCTGTGATCTCACCACTTCTTTTATACAACTGTAACAGATACCTGAACTTCACGTGGCTAGCCTCAAACGAGATTAAGTGCCCGCAGTCTGCCTACTAAGTTATTTGAACAAACTAGTCGTGGCCTAGATAGGAATTATTCATTGTGYTCATAATTTTTGTTRTTTGGYTCTGACTGAGATACGCACATATCYGGATACGTAAATAGATGTTTTCTGTGGTATTTATAAATTTTAAACAATCAATCCCTTTTTAGCACAATGAACCAACTAGGGACTTAAGAAAAGTGCCTCCAATGCGTTTTCTGTTATTCTTACCTACTAATGTAGTTTCCCCATCAACTAATCAGTTTCTWTATTATTATTTTATGGTGAAGCTGGTCGAGCTCTGCAACACATCTCCTATGGTCTCTTCTTGGCATTCCTGAGATTGACCCTCTCCAGTCAACCGATGGTCCATCTAATGTGCTTGCTAAATTACTGTATGGTGCATTCCTAATAATGGCTGTAGTAATGATGATGAACATGATGATAGCTCTACTATCAAACACTTACCAAAAAGTTGAGGTAAAAAAGTGCTTGCTACTTTTGAAAGGTTAAAGGACAAATCTACAGCAATACTGCTATAAAAACAAATCACAAGGCTTGCAAAGGGTTTAATGTGGGATATAATTCTTATTTCAGGATAATGCATTTTATGAATGGTCGTACAGGAAAGCAACAACAATAARGACCTATGTTAACTAYCATCCTGTCCCTGTACCGTTCAATATCATCTCTCTCACGTGTTTATTCATCTGTCACATATATCAAATATTCTGGTGTAAAACATGCTGCCAGAAAGACAATTCAAAGTCTTCAAAGGTAATAATTTACCAATAATTTGTAAGATAAAACTCATGAAAAAAGTTCGATTATCTACCCTATAGACAAAGGAAAACTTTGTGTTTCGCTTCTTCTTCTTCTTTGTGACAGTTATTCGACTCCTTGATCTACTGTCCATATCATCATCCCAATCCCACCCCACCAAAATGTGTTTTTCTTTGTTCTTAATTCTTAACTTATGTATCATGGGAATTTTTAAACCAATCAAATCAAACCCTCATTCGTCAACAACCAGAGTCATCTTCCATTTTTTTGGAAACTGAGAAAGATCTGGGTAAGATCGAGGACGGATTATTCCAATTTATGAATATATGAACACTAAATATTTTGTTTTTTGTTGTTGTTGTTGTTGATCTCCGATCTTTCCAGAAGCAAACTAGTTTACTCTTTTTTAAGCAAACACTGCGTTGGATAAACAGCAACAACAACAAACGATAATAATTCAAACCAGCTCTCTCGCTTCCTGATTACTCATGACCATATATTTCTCTCTGCCCTAAAATTGTTGTCCGCAGACATTAAAATACATGATTATGAACAATTCAAAAACATTTCCCAATAAAATGAAGTCAAATTCCATTCCTTATTTTTGACAGACTAAAAACATTGCAAAAGATGAAGATAAGGATTCGGTAAGTAGACCCTTAAATCGGAGCCGCTGCAATTTCCACCTCAAATGTTATAAAATTATGGCTTTATTGACTTCTTCA